TAATGGCCAAATACTAGATTGCATTTCATTTCAGTTGAACTTCCACAAGAGCTCCTGACGATGGGTTGAATAACCCGAAACACCTATCGGGCTATGGTGGAGTTCCGATTGAAATGAAATGCAATCTTTTACTTTCATTTAAACGTCTTTCTCTACGTAAAGAGTGAAAAAAGATGGTGATGTTCAAAGGTGAATCGTAGATGCATGTCGAAGTAAAAATGTACTTCTAGCGTCGTTGAAAGCCTCTAGCAAGAGGCTTTGAATTTGCGGTTCACCTGATTTGCTATCAGAGAGGTCTCTCGAGTTCTCGTTATTTCATATTTTTCCAATATATAATATTATGCAGCATGTAATATAGGTACAATAGAATAGAATGTAGAAAGAATGTTTAATATGTTGTTAGTTCTTAAGAATTGTAGAAAAATATTATTTGTAAATAAGTTTTAGGAAATTTTATAATTGTAGGTAAAAATTTGTGTGTTATCGAAATGAGGAAATGGGAGATGTATGACGCGTTTTGATTGGATGAGATTGGAAAAGGTGGGAGGTTTGGTTTGAGAATGAGACGTTGGTTAGTTTTGGAAGAAAAATTGATAGTCAGTTGGTTTCCAAGGATACAAGGCGAACGGCCGTTGTTCTCGGGTAGTTTCCCAGAGGTAGGAAGCAGTAGCAGTGAAAGTTTGTGAGTTGTGTAGTTAGTGTATCTGACAGAAGCTGATCCAGTAAAAGATTGTAAGTTATATTTTTCTACTTATATTCCAAGAGTCACTGTTCAGGCCAACGAGAGATTCAGTTTCTCGTAAAGAGAAGATATTCCAAGAGTCATTTTTCACTCAGGCCAACGAGAGATTCAGTTTATCGTGAAGAGAAAAGGCTAGCATAATTTGAACGATTCGTGCATTTGAAGGAGATCATTAAGGACAATAAACTTGCAACAATTTGTTGTAAGATTGCTGATTACCTAGGGAGCTGCTAAGAGTAGATAGTATAGTCTACAAGGAACAAGGATTTGGACCACTCATCATCAGAGAGAGATAGTTTTGTTTTTCTGCAGTTTTCTTTTATTGATAACACAATTTTACACTTACTTTAGAAAGATATAAATATTTTGATTAGGAGATTTAGAATAATAATTGGGATTTTGAGTTTTTAACTAATATTGTTTGTACCATTAATTTTGAAGGTTCACATACGTAGAACAAAATTTTGAGAATCATTATGAGATTTAGTTTATTGAAAACATTTGAGTGTGAATTTTATTTCATTATTTTTATTTCAATATATAGTGTTATATCATATATGTTTTTTTTTATTATTCCGGTATTCTTTGGACCTTACCTTTCACATGTAAAGAATAGATATTGAAGCACGAATATAACCCTCAGATAAGAGAATTAAAAAGTGTGATAAAATCATAGTCATATCATTTAAATAATTTTAATTAATTAATTAATTAGCTAATTAATTGCTTGGCGCACTAAGACTTTAAATATCACAATATATATATATATATATTATATATATATATATATATATATATATATCACTATATATATATATATATATATATATTATATATATATAAAACTGTTTTTGATGGGTTGGAGTCAATAAAAGGGGCTATTTGTTGACTATTTTTTACTCGAGCTTTCAATTGTGATTACAATTTTTATCAAGAGCTTCTAAAAAATACAAAATATCTTACAAAGTTGAACTAGAAATAAAAAATTTTTTGTTAACTCACCAAATAAAATTAGTTTTTTATATAAAACTACTGCTTACATATTAATTACAAAAAATATTAATAAAAAAATGTCTTATTCTAATAAATGTTTCTCTGAAAAATTTTGATGAAGTTTCTTAACAAAAACAATTGAATTTGTAAACAAAAATAGAATAGCTACAAACCAGCCTAAATGTCATAAATACTAACTTAAAAAGTTTATTTTGACATACTGTCAATAATAAAATTTTGTTTAAAAAATTCTTCTTTGTTTAGTAGCAAAAAAGATTATAAATATTCCATGTATTTGTTACATTTTTTCGGGCATCTATCAATGGTGAATAAATCTTCTTCTTTTTAAAGCTCGAGTAAAAAATAGTCAACAAATAGCCCCTTTTATTGACTCCAACCCATCAAAAACAGTTTTATATTTTTTCCAAACGAGTCACAAGTACTTCTTTTTTCTTATATATATATATGAAAAACATATTCGTGAGATAAACGATGAAGTCAAGAGATTGAAAACCAGTTTTACTACCTCATTTGAAGACATTAAGAAGGATCTTACCTTCATAAAAAATACATACAAAAAACCACAATAATTGTGTACAGTTCTACATTGGTGCACGGCAGTGTTTAGTATGAAGTGTCTGAGAGACAAAAGATATCTTGCAATCTTATGATCTTTAATATGCCTCAAGATGGTGAGGAAGATGACACCTCTAAAGCTAAGGAAATGCTAACGGGCTTAGTTGGTTCTGATATAAAATTAGTCAGTTCAACTAGAATTGGTAAACGAATTAAAAATGGGTATCAATCACTGCGACTAACTCTAGAGTCACCTGAAATGCTTCGGTTAATATTGAGAAACAAGAGAAAGTTGAATAGAGGTTTAAAAGTGTTCCTGGAAGATTTAACTTAAAGAAAGACAGCGTAAGGGTGAATCCGATCTCATTTTGAAATATGTTAATGGTGTGCCAAAGTTAATGCGAAAAAACATATCTACCAAGTTCAAAGCCCCCTCAGTCGCGACTTCAAAGCGCTGGTATATTTTCAGAATGTTACATACAAAATTTCCGCTACTGATTGAAAATACTTCTTACTCACAATATGAAATTTTAGTTTTTAATGAAACATAGTTAACAGATGACATAAAGAGCGCCGAACTGCAAATGTTTGACTGCAACATATATAGAAGAGATAGATCCCCAGAAACAATTACCTTCAAAAGAGGTGGAGTAGTGCTTATAGCTGTCCGGAAAACCATAACCAGTGTTCGTTTGTCAGCGACTCAAAATATTGAACATCTGTTTGTCAAGATTGAGATTGGCCATATTGACAAGTTTATCTTTGCAGCTGCCTATTTTCCACCACATAGTATCATTGAGAAGTATTTGGAATTTAGAATAATTTAATAATCTAGCTGAAAAGTATCCAGAATATAAGTTACGTATCCTGGGAGATTTTAACCTCCCCAATTGTCAGTGGTCCATTGATGTATTGTCTTCTGTGGTTACTCCATTACCAGGCACCTCACCAAATGAAGTCGATTCCATTCAATTCCTCTCATTTTTATGTTCCTTTCATAATCTGTATCAATTAAACACTGTTAAAAATGAAAACAACTCTTTATTAGATCTAGTCATGGTCCAAGATGAAGAGGTTGAAGTATCTAGAGCTGAGAGTGCCCTACTCCCATAGGATAGGCATCATCCTCCACTCTCATTTGGGTTTAAATGTGAATCTCAATATTTCAATGAGCCAGTATTGATTGGAGGTGGCTTTTATAGAGAATTTCGCTCAGTGAGTGTACGGGAAGTAACAAACTTTCCGTAATTCTTTTCCAACGTAACAAACGTTGTATTCCCAAAGTTTTTGAGAGCCTTCTCTGTGACTATTTGTCAACAACTTTAAAAGGTTGTTTTATCGACCAGCAATTTGGATTTCGCTCTAGTTAGCTGCTCCACTGAACTTAATTTATTGACATTTACTGATTTCCTTACAGAATCCTTGACGATGGCTTCCAGGTTCATGCTGTAGACACAGACTTTACAATGGCTTTTGACCGGGTAAATCACAAGATTTTAATCAATAAGTTGAGGAGTCTGGGCATCCAGGGTGAACTTTTAGAATAGTTGTTATCCTACCTAACTGAAAGAATACAAATAGTATGTGTTTAGGGTTTTTAATCGTTTGAGATTAAGGTACTTTCAGGAGTACCACAAGGATCACACCTTGGACCTCTTCTACTCAATAACTATGTTAATGATATTGCTTCCTGTTTCCTCTTTACTTCTTTCCTAATGTTTGCTGACGATTTAAAATTATATTTGATAATTGAGAATTATGGTGACTATCAAAAACTCCAGTCTGATTGGGATCGGTTGAGCTATTGGTGTGACAGCAACGGAATGGAACTTAATGTTAAAAAGTGTTATTTAATAGTTTTTGATCGGAATAAAACTCCTACAAATCATATCTATACTATCAATGGTTGCCCTTTAGACTCTGTATGTCAGATAAAAGACCTAGGTGTTGTTCCCGATTCCAGCTTATCCTACATTCCCCATATCTCATCTGTTGTCTCAAAATCACTTCAACTTTTAGGGTTTATCAAACGTTGTACCTACTAAAGACTTTCTAAATATCCCATCCATAAAAATTTTGTATTGTTCACTTGTGGGACCCCACCTAGATTACTGTTCATGTGTTTGGTCTCCTAATTATAACACCCACATTCAAGCTATTAAGAGAGTTCAACACAAATTCTTAATATTTGTTGCATTTAAACAAAACCAGAATATTGCAGAAATTAACTATTCAAATATGGAATGGCACTCAACATAACTTCTCTTCAAATCCGACGCATGCACAAAGATCTCACTATGTTTTATAATATACTGCACTCTATTATTTTTGGTCCTCAACTATTAGAAAAGATTAATCTCCATGTTCCCAGTAGACAAACAAAGCTAAATCAACCCTTTTATGTTAGACCCCTTCGCACAAACTACGGACTCAATTCATTCACATATAGAACACCAAGGTTTGCTAATCATTATTCCCAAAGGTTGGATTGTTATAGTATTCCAAAAGAATTTAAAGCTCAGCTTAAGAACTGTGAATAAAATATTGAATAAAAAAAATTCAAATTAATACTTTTTAATAACTATCGGGACGAACTTTGATATCGACAAAAAAACTAAAAACTCAAAACATAATTGAGTAATTATTGTGAAGAATATTGTAATTGACTACAAAATTGTTTCATTTTTAGACACCTGGAGAAGGAGAACACAAAATAATGGATTATATTAGGTATACAAGAGCACAGCCTGGTTATGATCCGAATACTAGGCACTGCTTATATGGTCTTGATGCAGATTTAATTATGTTAGGACTATGTTCACATGAACCACATTTTAGTTTATTGAGGGAAGAGGTAAGTTGTGTATAGTATTATCTACATTAGTTATGTACATAATTATGTTGCAAAACTAATTTCGCAGCAGTTATAAATAAAAAGAATGAAAGAAATAGTATATTAATATTCACTGTAATTCAAGTATTTGACAACAATTTATTGTGTTGGAGTATCGGGTATACGGTCTGTTATTTAAAAAAAAAAACTCTTTTTTCTTTTAATGCTCTATATTTCGCTGATTTTTTGTCAGCTTCATCAGGAGACAACTAAAATATGATTAAAAGTTATATAAAAATCAGTTTAGAATAAACAATGAATCACTTACAGATTTAGAGTGGAAAATATATAAAAAAGTTGTTCTACATATGTTCAAAACAGTACTGACAGTATTGACTAAAAGCACCTAGGTCACTAGTAATTAAATATAAAAGCAGAGCAAACAAAAATAACCAAGAAACAATTAAAACACAATAAAATTACACATTAAAAATATACAGTATGTAAAAATAATTTTTCTGTTTACAATTATATTTTAAATCACCCTCAGACTAACTTACCCACGCTATATCTCTTAAACGAATAAAGATTTTCAAATGGGACAAAAAGTGATCTATTCTACTTGTAATACACTTTAATATGGCGTAGAAAAAACATTCCCTAAATATTCATCCCTTAGTTACAACCCCTAACTTAAACTTTTAAATAGCACCCTGTACATTTTTTTATAGTTTTGGATGTGGTCTTTTATCGTCTATTTAACCGATTTTTTTTTAATTAAATGGGTTTATAAGGTTTCAAGAAAATATCAGTTTATTTTTTGTTTTTGTTAAATTAATCAAGATAGCCTTAAAAAATAGAATAGAAAAGAAATATGCTTTATTGTCACGGAAATTAGATAAATCGTCAATATTACAAATTGAAAGAATGAAAGTAAAACAAAAACAATTTATTGCAAACTTTAAATAAATTGCAAATTGAACATACTACTCATACAAATAAAATATAAGCTTAGGAACAATAAAACTTAAAGGAGCAATAAAGATAAATGCAATAAAAATTACATGAAAAAATAAATCAAAACACCAACTAACTAATATTATTTACATTAAATGTTCGAATTGTAACCCACCTGCTGCAACACACGTTTCTAATCGTTCCAGAAGATTTCTGGTACATGTAGCTCGGATCATTTCGGGGGTAATTTGGCGACATGTTTGTCTTATTTTTTCTTTTAATTCCTCTAAATTTTGCGGTTTTGATTGATAATATCTTTTATCTCTCCCCAAAAGAAAGAGTCAAGAGGCGACAAATCACATGAACGTGCGGCACACATAGTTTCTGGAGAGTTGTTTGCTATCCAGTGGTTATCAAAACGGTTTTGTAGGTGGTCGCTAACGATTCTCGTATTGTGTGGAGGAGCTCCGTCTTGTTGCCACCACATTTCTTGACGCTCATGAAGAGAAATATCTTCTAGCAAATCGTAGAATATTTTCTAAAAAGTCTAAATATCGAACACCTGTTAGGTTAAAAAGGTAAGAACCTATAACAGGGCCATTAAATAAACTGCACCACACATTTATACCCCAAATTTTCTGAAATTTTGTTTCCATCATCCAATGTGGGTTCACGGGAGACCAATAATTGGAATTGTGACGATTGACAACAACATTATTGTGAAATCTAGCCTCATCACTCCACAATAGTTTTGATAAAAAAAGTGGATCTTCACTGATTTTTAACATCATTTTTTCAATAAACTCAAGACGTATTTGGTCATCACCAGGCTGTAATCCTTGAACTAGGTGCACTTTAAAAGGATGGTTCTTAAAATCTTTGAAAATTCTATGCACAGAACTTTTTGGAATGCCACATTCACTGGCGAGGGTTCTAACAGACACCTTGGGATTAAAATTAACATATGCTAGAACATTAATAAGGTTTTGGTTACATCTTACTGTGCGTTCAAGTGTACCTCTTTTTATTACGAAAATTTCCCTGTCTAACTGAGCAAATTCTTAAAGGTTTTTTCGCTTGTAATGTTTCGATTTGGAAACCTTTCTTGATATAATTGTCAGAAAATTATCATATTTTTAGGCATTCTCCATAAATCAAAATGATATCAACGTACTCGTCAGGCGAAAATAAATAAGGCATATTGAAATGTTATAGATACACAATTACAACAAATATAGTTATGACTGGTCTAATACCAAACGTCAAAAATAATAATTGTTGATTTGACAATCTCATGGCAACCTGAATTAAGGTTCATATCCAAGACGTAAAATAACCGCAAAAGTTTTTCAAACATTGTAACTTTATTATATACTCGGTTCGCTAATCCCAGTCTGAACTGTCTAGTTATTTTAGTAATTATTACTGTTTTTACGAAGTTAGTTACTTTTTGCTAGACAGTGGCTGGAAATGACTATACAACCAAGCACACGTGCTCATAGCGCATTTCATTAGAGTATTTCGTCGACCTCGTTTGCAAACTTATACTATGACTTAGAAATTTATAGCACGTATAAAGAAAGTAAGTTTCTATTTTCTATATAATTATCCCATATCAAATTTGTCATGTCGCCTCTTTAATTGCCTGCTATGAACAAGGGGTCAATTATAGCATCGCCTAATATTCCTGCCCAAATATTCAGTTTTTCAGGATATTGAGTATGAATCGATGCGGGTTCACATCACTCCTGTACCGACAGTTTTGTTTATTTACATAACCATTCGGCATAAAAGTACATTCATCAGTGAAACAAATATTTTTTAACATTCTCGGTTCAACGCGAATTCTTACAGTCATGAGTTCACAAAACTTAAAAAGTTTCTTTGTTGTCGGGATATAAGGTTAGAACTACGCCTGAGAATGCTTCGATGTTACTCTACTCTTCTTTATGGTTTGGAAGCTTGGACACTAAAACAAGTTCATCTGAATAAGTTGGCCGCCTTTGAATTTTAGTGTTACAGAAGAATCCTACGAATATCATGGATTCAAAGAATGTCATACATGGAAGTAACTAGAAGGATAGGAAATGAGGCGGAAATAATATTAACTATTAAAAGACGAAATCTTGAGTACTTGGGACATGTGATGAGAGGACAAAAATACGCATTATTACAACTTATTATGCAGGGCAAAATCCCAGGAAAGCGAAATGTGGGAAGACGAAGAATATCCTGGCTTAAGAACTTAAGGGAATGGTTTGAATGCAGTAGTGCAGAACTTTTTAGAGCGGCAGTCAACAGAGTCCGCATAGCCAGGATGATTTTCAATCTTCGATAGAAGATGGAACTTAAAGAAGAAGAAGGATCATCATCGCCTAGTTCTTGAAGAATTTGTGTTTTGTACTGGTGAAGCTTATGTAATTTCAACACCTTTCTAACCGACTCATGTGAAAGTCCTGTCATTGCAAATACTTGATGTGTTGATGCAGTAGGCTCTAGGGCAAAATTTTCAAGGACTTCAATTTGAGATGCTTCATTCAGTAATCTTGGGACATCCCTTTTTTTATTCTGCACTGATCCCATTTCTCTAAACTTTTCAACTAAATTCCGGACGTACACATGAGTTTACATTTGTGTCCGAATGCCTTTCATGAAATATTTGAGCTGTTCGTAAATAACACTGGTTCTGGGAGGCAAATATGAAAATGATCTTCACGCGTTCAGGTTTAGTGTAAACCATCGTGACAACTACAGCTGAATGACAGTACCGATCATACAAATGATGAAAACTAATGACATTTAAAATTCTCAAATAAACCAAAAAATTTTTAATTTGACAGAACCCAAAAAACAGATGTTTTCAACTTGTTTTGTAAAAACAGCAAATGTAGTTTTTATTTAAAAAAAAAACAATTCCGACGGGCACTTGTCATTAAAAAAATATTCCGGGAGATAGCATTACAAATACAAAAGTCATAGTAAGCCGGCTGATATTAACATACTCTATAATTATTGAACAATAATTATACAGGGTCATTAACGGAATCAACAAAAACCTCATTAAATTTTTCATTTAAGCCAAAGTTTCACAATTATTGTTTCACCGTTTATAATTATCATTTATACCATTGGATAGCATTTTTTATAGTCTTTTCAATGGTGTATTACAAGTAGGGGTTTGCAATTTTTTAAACTTTTTTGGTTATAGTGAGTGGGGCCTAGGGGGTTGACGGGGATGAGTTCTCTTAGTTCCCCTTACTACCCTAGAAACAATTTTAAGCATTTTTTGATATCAGCTTTTGTTCGTGAGATATAGTATATTGTAAGTTTTGAAATTGACACACTGTATACATATATTTTTACACAGCCTCACCGAAATACTAAGCGACTATAACTACGTTATTACACTGGTAACTTGTCTTTGCTTTCATTTGAAACAACATCCTAATTTTAAATATGGTATTCTGTTTGCCCTTCATGTTATAAAGTCTACTGTTTACATATTTTTACGTACTTCCGTTCTTTGTGAGTTTTATAAAAACAACTTCTGTTTGTTCTTCAAAAAAACATTGAACGTTTATATCTATGGTTCCTGAGTTGAACTTTTTTTATACTTCATTTCCATCATATTGATAGCTGAAAATTCTGTCTAATTTTGTCTGATTGTAAGCATATCGATTTACTTTTAGATGAAATGATTATGTGTATGGATTTATATTATAAAACCTTTTTAATAAAGCATTAAGTAACAAGATATCCTTGTGAACAAGATTTTGTATTTTAATTGACGGTCGTATTTTTTTTTCAATATCTTCTTCTTCTTCTCCTTTTTATATAGACATGACTCTGTCTGTTTTTCAATGTGCGTCCAGTAAGTTGTCATTCCATCGTTTTCGTGGTCTTCCTATTGGGGAACCGTCTCTTGTCGTTTTACTACTCTATTTGTTGTCATTCGGCTTATATGATCGTTCCATTCTACTCTTCTATTTCTTACCCAGTTTTTGATGTTCTCCACCTTGCATCTATGTCGTATATCTGTATTTCTAGCTCTGTCCTATAGTGTC